ATTTCATACTCAAACTCCTTTTCTTTCATTGGCGTAGAATTTTCAAAGGTGCAATTATTAAAAAAATCAAGTTCTACGCCTATGTATTATTATCGGACAACATTTTAACACAATTTTTTTGCCACATAAAACTCTTATCAATATACCAAATTTCAGCAAAATCGCATATGCCGTTTTAAATTTATATGGGAAGATGAACGATTTAAAAATTGAAACTTCAAGGCCCTCTGGAGCCCAAACGATGCAACTTTGTACTAAGGTAATTTTACTTGAACCGACTTATTTTGGTGTAGGGAATATGTGGTATGTTTTTTTAAAGACCTTTTACAGACACCCTGTATAGGGTTATTCAAAACAGCCTTCTTGTTATACATTTTTTTAATTGGGTCACGTTCTTAAAAAAAAGTTGATAACTTTTGAAACATCAACAATTGGATGATCACATATATGGTTAATTTGATTGGAAATGACTCTTCCCCTACCACCCCACTTGTTTTGATCCATGACTTATCGGACACCCTGTATAAGATTAACAGAGAAAAAAATCGACGTTAACCTTCCTATCACCACTCAAATTCACCTTGTATAAATCTATTCAATGTGTAAAATAACTTTCAAGAAACTAGTTGGGACAATATAATTATGAAAAATATTGGATCCAATTCACTTCTTTGATCATATTTAATTTTCCTAATGATGGAATATTTTTTTCAGTCATCACGAATTTTATGTTCAATATTTGCAGCTACTTAAACTAATCTTTTAGAGGCAAGTTTTAAACCTAAAAATAATTTGTTGTGATATATTTTTTTCATAATTTAGTTCTTTTTATATCATCATCAAATTTTATGTGATCTTAACATTTATGAACAGGTGGCTAGGAGAATAAGGCCACCTTGTAACTCTTCAAAAGTTCAAGATGCAATTTTTAATTGGAATACTTGCAATTTCCTATTCACTGAGCTTAAATTTCGATTTTCAGTCAGAAAACTGTATTTCTTATTGAAGAATTTGAGATTTAGGATCTTCATTTCTTCTTCATATGAAAAATTCAACCATCTTACTGGTAATATAATCGGCTACTTAGATGATTTTTTGGAAAATATATGTCATTTCAATTAGTTGAAAATTCGAAAATTGTTTCTTGAACCACTAAAAATTCACAAGGGTGGTCCTGGTCTTGATCGCTGGTCACCCGGTATCTTAATTCCTAGTCCAGGTTTGGAGGTTGAAGATGAAATTTCTCATTTCTAAACAATAAAAAACTTTATTTTGCATACTTAATTACGAAAGTACGAAAGCGTCTAGGGGTCACACATTTAAAATAAATTTATTTTTTTTTTCAATATATTGAAAAAAATGCAATATGTTGGAAAAAAATCCAGTATATTGAAAAAAAATCCAATATATTGAAAAAAAAATCCAGGGGTCACACAATTAAAATATTTTTTTCCAATTTATTGGAAATAAATCTAATACATTGAAAAAAAATCTAATATATTGAAAAAAAAATCTAAACTATTGAAAAAAAATCCAATATATTGAATAAAAAATTCAATATATTGGATTTTTTTTTTCAATATATTGGATTTTTTTTCCAACATATTGCATTTTTTTTCAATATATTGAAAAAAAAAAATTATTTTAAATGTGTGACCCCTAGACGCTTTCGTACTTAATCCCTTATTTCCAGTCATTTTTTCAGTACAAGAGTACTACAATACTTTAGTTACTGGAATTAATTGGTGTGCCAACATATTGGAATGTGTCACCTGAAGTTCCAAGTGTGCCAATACACTTTGAAAAATCCACAAAATACGCACAAATTTAGCATAATAGTCCTTAACAAATTGTTAGTACTGGACTAATGTGTAGATAGAATTAAAAGATGCCATGATGGTTTTCCTCAGAGAGAATTTTTTTGTTAAAATGAACTACACCTCTTTCAATTGAGCTCTTTTCTACCTTGAACGAGAGAAAGGAAAGTTCTCTCCTCTTCCATCTTTCTCTTCAATGCTGCTACCAACGTGGCCGCATTGAAATATAGAGAGGTCCGATAAATCTTTCCTTGTCTAACCTCTAGTCTGCGCCACTGAACTATTTTCGATATTATAATGACGTGATATGTCTATCATGAATGTCATTGACTGATGACATTTCGAATTTTCAAAATGAAATTTTGATTTATTCGCGATAGATAATAACACGTCGCCCCACCTGACTACAGCATCTTGAAAACTTCTGAGCGGTTTGTTTGATGATATGACCAATGAGCACAAACAAAAAACAAATGTGAACCAATGAAAACGAAGTAAAAATGCCGCTGTGCCGGCTTTCAAGAACTCCGATAGGTGGAGTACGCTTATTTTCTATCACGAATATCATACTTATTTTGACATAATTTGTTAATATCGTTAAATTTGACAATCTGCTAAATTGAAAAATAGTTCAGCGGCACAAAGTAGATGTTAGACAAGGAAAGATTTATCGGACCTCTCTATATTTCAATGCGGCCACGTTGGTAGCATTGCAGAGAGAGATGGAAGAGGAGAGAACTTTCCTCTCTCTCGTTCAAGATAGAAAAGAGCTCAATTGTAATTCCGAGAGCTTAGGATAAATTTCAGCTGTTGGACGACAAAAATATAAAATAAAATGTTGATATTTCCATGTACTGAACGGTTCGTTTTTCTTATCATTATAACTACTCTTATTTATCCCCTCAGCAGTTTTTAAATCACGAGTGATGATGCTTTTTAAATTACAATGGAGAAGACCACTGATTTTTTAAAACGACATTATCGTGAACTCTATACTGAAAAACTACCAGTGAATTAATTTTGAATTTTTTCATTCGTGCTAAGACGATGAAAAAAATAAATTAGTATATGTCCATTTCAAAACACACAATTCCTGCGCCATTTGAAATTTCATCAATTCATTGGTGTGACTGGTGCGACGTCTTATTCCCAACACGCCTATCGTCCTTGAACTGACCAATCACACTGCAACCCTGCAGAATGACGAGGTATCAGACAGAGATAGCTACAGTTCGGGACTAATACGTCACGACTCCACCATCATATTTGGCTGTTTGAAATATCGAATGAAATATGCTGATTTCAAAACGATATAGATTCGATTCCCTCCAACTTCAACTCATAATATTGATTGTACATAAAATGTAAATCATGATTCGTCGATTGAAAGAGGTTTGCACGGATTTCTTCCCTCAGTGGTCTTCCCCATTGACTAATTGAATTACAATTGAGAAAGGTGTAGTGTGAGAAAACTCATCATCATTCTACCTATTTGTCCAATACAGTGCCTAGAATATATATGTAATGATAATAGATTTGAATGTTTTCGATTGTCTTGGCTATTAAACTGTCCATGAGGAAACATCTAGCCAACATGTGTATTATGTAATTCACCCCATTTGCTATAAGCAGAAAAATAATTGCTCATGATAATTATTAACAATATGAATAGATGACGTTTTCTACAAAATTAATATTTGATTGGTGAGTTCTGAAACGTGAGTAAATAGTCTTTCCAAATACCACTCACGCTAAAAAAAACAGTGTTTCGAGAAAATCACTAGAAGACTTCGTTGCATGTTGCATTTATCGTTATAGCTAACACTTAGTATTTTTTTCTAGTTTGCTGTCTTCTATTCATCTTGATCAGTGGTTATAGTATGTTTAGATTGTAGCAATATATGTGCCATCATTAAAATTGCGGTTTTAGGAATGAAAGCGAAAGTGTTAAATTAACTTAAATCAATTTGATAGTCAAAATTATAGGTGATTGTGTGAAATTCTTCAACTTCAATATTTATCACGGTGAAAATATATCATCAAGATATATACATGCACAAAATGGTATTTTATACAATGTGTCTCTAATGCTGATACATATTTACAAAAAAGTTGAATACAATAGTAATTATCCACTACTCTTATTTCAGCTTCAGAATTCTGAGTTCCCATTAACTTACAAGACATATCAGTATCTACACATTCACAAATAAAATTTGACTATGAAACAAATTGATCATTATGAATTTCAGCTAGTCTTATTCTGTATTTTGAGATTGAACTGAAAAAACGTCAGAAATATTGGTCTGATGTTTTTCCTAGTCGAAAATGTTGAACCTTAATTATTTCAAAATTTATACATATATATTTTGTATTAATGTTATGAAGAAAATTGATTTTTCGATATTTTGTATGTATATAAAAATGTGAAAATGAAAATACTTGAAAGAAGAATGGAAATATGAAGCTGTGCCAAATTCCTAAATTTGAATATATTCATGCGAAAAATTCACATTTTCCCTAAGTCCAGAATGAATGATTGGAATGATTGAATCATTATTGATTTTTGAATTAAGAAAATGTGTATTATTTGTGTGGAACACATCCTTGAAAATGTGACTAAAATGTAAATGTTGTTTAGATATAATACTCTGACTAGGTATGCAGCCAGTACTCAAATTCATTGGTAAAACTAGCGTTTTTAATAGTTTAATAGAGGTTTGGCAAACAGAATGTCCCATTAAGAAATAATCTTACTTAAAAAGTCTAAAACCTGTTGGTACACTCGCGTTTTCCTAAAATGCACCCAAAAGCACAATGTGGCAATACTGCTTTTACACTGCCACGTTCGAATAGTACCTGACGTCACATGCTAGAGGATCCATATTGACGTTGCCACTTCTTGACATAATGGTCTTATTTAACCTCAAACCGTGGTGCATTTTTGGACAATCCAGCTGTACTTTCTTTTTGAACACTGGCTGCTACCATCCGTATCTGGTAGGAATAACTGATACTGATGTAAAAACCCGTAAAAATGCATATTTTCATTGGTGTGCAGTAGTTGTGTAATATAGCAATAATTAAGCCCTCTGAAATGTGTTTTTTTCCATGCCATACACTGGATGACAATTGCATTTGAGAAGATTGTAATGAAAAACTACTTGACTAATTTTTTTACAGAGCCGGAAATGAAGTGAAGGCTGGAAAAACTTTTGTTTTCTGGGGTCTCGACAACGAATTTCAATCAGTTGCCGTTGTTGGATTAGGAAAAAAATGTGAAGAATCTGACGATTTGGAACTAATCTGCCGAGAAAAGGAAGCTGTTAGAGTAGCTGCATCCGGTAAATATTAATATAAAAACTTCAGAAAATCACTACTAAAATAAATCATGGATTTTAACACAGAATAAAAATTTCTCAACACTAGATATAACAATATATGATCATAATAGACAAGGTTGACTGATCTACTTTTCTTCCAAGTGTTTCCAACAATTGACATACAGGGACTTCTGCTCTTTTATTTCGGGGAAATTGAATCCAGATTAACATAAATGGAATAACTATCTGTGTGGTAGTTCATCGGCAGTTGATGAGGTTTTCCTGGTGCAATAGAGGATTACGTGATGTCTTGCTAATGTTCCCAAGGTACCTCATGTAGGGGTCTATTCAAACAATTTAAAATTCTTCCTCTCTATGGCCTACTTTTAGCGAATTCAACGATACCGGGTTTGATAGTGATATTTCAAACAATCACGAAGATAATCGAGTTTAGAATTTTTGATATGCCCAACGAGTATGAGAGAAAGAAGTTTCGATATTGCGAAGTCACACCCATTAAACATATGGAAACTTCGAACGCAAATATCTTCATGATTGTTTGAAATAACCCTATCAAACCCGGTATCGTTGATAGTATCAGATAATAGTAAAAGATTCCAACGCATCTAGGAAGGAAAAGTAGCACTTTCCTCCCTTGTTATACAAATAGCTATCTTGTGCCTATAATGTATACACCTAAGGTAAACCTTGTTTATATCTGACTTGTCCATTAGCTCCAAAGCTCTATGAAAAAGAAATAAAAATTGAATCGAATTTTTTTTTCAGCCGGTTGCAGAGCTTTAGATGCAGCCGGCGTCAAAAACATCCAAGTCGAGAACTTCTCCGACCCCGAATCAGCAGCCGAAGGCAGCCTCCTAGGCACCTGGAAGTTCCAAGAGTACAAAACCAAGAAAGAAGCCCCGCCCCAGATCGCCCTCTTCGATCCCCAAGAGCGCACCGCCTGCGCATGGCAAAGGGGCGTGGCCAAAGCCGACGCCCAGAACCTGGCGAGGAGGCTAGCAGACACGCCCGCCAACCTGCTCACCCCCACCATCTTCGCGCAGCGAATCCAGGAGCTGTTGGCGCCGTTGGGCGTGGCCGTGACGGTGCGCGACCACAAGTGGGCGGAGCAACAGCGCATGGGGGCGTTCCTGAGCGTGTCGCGGGGCTCGACGGAGCCGCCTAAGTTCGTGGAGCTGGCTCTGGATAGGGGTGGGGAGGGGCAGGCGCCGTACGTGCTGGTTGGGAAGGGGGTGACCTTCGATTCGGGCGGCATCAGTTTGAAGCCGTCGGCGGGCATGGACGAGATGAGGGCGGATATGGGAGGGGCTGCTAGCGTTGTCGGTGAGTATCGATGGCATTTTATCATTTTTCCTCTTGCTTTTCTCCTGAGGTATCTATGAGAGGGCGGAACATGGATATTGAATCTGAAACCAACCTGAATAATATTCCCAACGTCCGTGAATGGATTGCTGCATATTTGCTTTCTTTCCGAATAATGGTTTTCCAGTAGGCATTTTCCACATTTCCAATTACGTGTATAATAAAGACCCTGAATGCCAAACAATGTGCTGCTCGGATCTAAAACTAAGCATCAATTCAAAATTTTAATCATTAGACCTACATAGATTATAAATCTATGAAAAGTCTGAATATTGTTTTCAACATTCGTAACAGGAACGCGATATATTTTTGTGCCAATTATCCCAATGAGACGTACAGGCAGATATACAAAAAATTTCTCTGAATTCTGAAAAGTATACTCTGGTCAGTTCTCTGTGCGGATCTTCTGTTCGGTTCGTCTTGACTGGATGGTTTTCTCCGATTTAGTGGCAAGTATCGGACACTTTGCTTTTCTTATCTGCAACTAAACATCACATATCAAATATAGAAGTCCACTTAAATTAAAACTGATTTCCATGAGAGGACGGAACATGGATATTGATTCTGAAACCAACCTGAATAATATTTTCAACGTCCGTAAATCGATTGCTGCATATTTGCTTCCTTTCCGAATAATGGTTTCCCAGAAGGCATTTTCCACATTCCCAATTACGTGGGATATAATAAGGACAATGTGCTGCTCGGATCTAAAACTAAGCAACAATTCTGAATATTGTTTTCAACTATCGTAACAGGAACGCGATATATTTTTGTGATTCAACAACTATCTCAATGAGACGGGCAGGCAGATAAACAACAATTTTCTCTGCAATGAAAAACATTGTATATACCTAACCCACCATGCGCCTACCTCCTTTGCAGAGAGGGTTTATAAACGCCGAGTTGATACTCTCCCCTCGTAAGGGTACCTGTCATGTTTCCATAGAGACATAAAGGTGAATATCTGTCTACCTGTCTGTTCACTTGAGAATCTGGAAAAGAAATCAATATATCGCCTTCCGTAAGAATATAAGGACCTGAATTCTGAAAAGTATACTCTGGTCAGTTCTCTTTGCGGATCTTCTGTTCTTTTCGTCTTGACTGGATAGTTTTCTCCGATTTGGTGGCAAGTATCGGACACTTTGCTTTTCTTATCTGCAACTAAACATCACATATCAAATATAGAAGTCCACTTAAATTAAAACTGATGTCCATGAGAGGGCGGAACATGTATATTGAAACTGAAACCAACCTGAATAATATTTTCAACGTCCGTGAATCGATTGCTGCATATTTGTTTCCTTTCCGAATAATGGTTTCCCAGAAGGCATTTTCCACATTCACAATTACGTGGGATATATTAAGGACCCTGAATGCCAAACAATGTGCTGCTCGGATCTAAAACTAAGCATCAATTCAGATTAGTCTGAATATTGTTTACAACTATCGTAACAGGAACGCGATATATTTTTGTGATTCAACAACTATCTCAATGAGACGGGCAGGCAGATAAACAACAATTTTCTCTGCAATGAAAAACATTGTATATACCTAACCCACCATGCGCCTACCTCCTTTGCAGAGAGGGTTTATAAACGCCGAGTTGATACTCTCCCCTCGTAAGGGTACCTGTCATGTTTCCATAGAGACATAAAGGTGAATATCTGTCTACCTGTCTGTTCACTTGAGAATCTGGAAAAGAAATCAATATATCGCCTTCCGTAAGAATATAAGGACCTGAATTCTGAAAAGTATACTCTGGTCAGTTCTCTTTGCGGATCTTCTGTTCTTTTCGTCTTGACTGGATAGTTTTCTCCGATTTGGTGGCAAGTATCGGACACTTTGCTTTTCTTATCTGCAACTAAACATCACATATCAAATATAGAAGTCCACTTAAATTAAAACTGATGTCCATGAGAGGGCGGAACATGTATATTGAAACTGAAACCAACCTGAATAATATTTTCAACGTCCGTGAATCGATTGCTGCATATTTGTTTCCTTTCCGAATAATGGTTTCCCAGAAGGCATTTTCCACATTCACAATTACGTGGGATATATTAAGGACCCTGAATGCCAAACAATGTGCTGCTCGGATCTAAAACTAAGCATCAATTCAGATTAGTCTGAATATTGTTTACAACTATCGTAACAGGAACGCGATATATTTTTGTGATTCAACAACTATCTCAATGAGACGGGCAGGCAGATAAACAACAATTTTCTCTGCAATGAAAAACATTGTATATACCTAACCCACCATGCGCCTACCTCCTTTGCAGAGAGGGTTTATAAACGCCGAGTTGATACTCTCCCCTCGTAAGGGTACCTGTCATGTTTCCATAGAGACATAAAGGTGAACATCTGTCTACCTGTCTGTTCACTTGAGAATCTGGAAAAGAGATCAATATATCGCCTTCCGTACGACTATGAGGATCTGAATTCTGAAAAGTATACTCTGGTCAGTTCTCTTTGCGGATCTTCTGTTCTTTTCGTCTTGACTGGATGGATGGTTTTCTCCGATTTAGTGGCAAGTATCAGACACTTTTGTTCTAAAAAAAATTTTGTTCTAAAATTTGTTCTATCCGTCATTCGGTTGCCCCCTTACGAGCAACCCTCAAAAGTCTTCGAAAGTCTTGTGCGAGCAAGGAATGACGGGGGCCTTACCTTTTAACGTGTGATCCCAAACACTTTCTTGGGCCATCAGAAAAATTTCTGCAGTCGACGGGGATCGAACCCACGACCGGCAAGCGAATGCGAATTAGAATATAGACACTCTGTCCGCACGGCTACCTGGCCACTTTGCTTTACATATCTGCTTATCTGCAACTAAACATCCAATATATTAAATATAGAAGTCCACTCGAATTGAAACTGTTTTCCATGAGAGGGCGGAACATGGATACTGAATCTGAAACCAACCTGAATAAAAATTTTCAACGTCCGTAAATCAATTGCTGCATATTTGCTTCCTTTCCGAATAATGGTTTCCCAGAAGGCATTTTCCACATTTCCAATTACGTGGGATATAATAAGGACCCTGAATGCCAAACAACGTGCTGCTCGGATCTAAAACTGAGCATCGATTCAAAATTTTATACATTAGACCTACATAGATTATAAATCTATGAAAAGTCTGAATATTATTTTCAACATTCGTAACAGGAACGCGATATATTTTTTTGTTTGTGATTCACCAATTATCTCAATTATCAAATCTTTTTTTTTTAGACGTACAGGCAGATATACAACAATTTTCTCTGAATTCTGAAAAGTATGCTATGGTCAGTTCTTTGTGCAGATCTTCTGTTCGGTTCGTCTTGACTGGATGGTTTTCTCCGATTTAGTGGAAAGTATCGGACACTTTGCTTTTCTTATCTGCATCTAAACATCACTTATCAAATATAGAAGTCCACTTAAATTAAAACTGATTTCCATGAGAGGGCGGAACATGGATATTGAATCTGAAACCAAGCTGAATGATATTTTCAACGTCCGTTAATCGATTGCTGCATAATTGCTTCCTTTCCGAATAATGGTTTTCCAGAAGGTATTTTCCACATTCCCAATTACGTGGGATATAATAAGGACCCTGAATGCCAAACAATGTGCTGCTCGCATCTAAAACTAAGCATCAGTTCAGAATAGTCTGAATATTGTTTTCAACTATCGTAACAGGAACGCGATATATTTTTGTGATTCAACAACTATCTCAATGAGACGGGCAGGCAGATAAACAACAATTTTCTCTGCAATGAAAAACATTGTATATACCTAACCCACCATGCGCCTACCTCCTTTGCAGAGAGGGTTTATAAACGCCGAGTTGATACTCTCCCCTCGTAAGGGTACCTGTCATGTTTTCATAGAGACATAAAGGTGAATATCTGTCTACCTGTCTGTTCACTTGAGAATCTGGAAAAGAAATCAATATATCGCCTTCCGTACGAATATAAGCATCTGAATTTTGAAAAGTATACTCGGGTCAGTTCTCTTTGCGGATCTTCTGTTCTTTTCGTCTTGACTGGATGGTTTTCTCCGATTTAGTGGCAAGTATCAGACACTTTGCTTTTCTCATCTGCAACTAAACATTTCATATCAAATATAGAAGTCCACTTGAATTAAAACTGTTTTAGGGTGGAACATGGATATTGAATCTGAAACCAACCTGAGGAAAATTTTCAACTTCCGTAAAATCATTCGCTGCATATCTGCTTCGTTTCCCAATAATGGTTTCCCAGAAGACATTCTCCTCATTTCCAATTACGTGGGATATAATAAGGACCCTGAATGCCAAACAACGTGCTGCTCGGATCTAAAACTAAGCATCAATTAAAAATTGTAATCATCAGACCTACATAGATTATAAATCTATGAAGAGTCTCAATATTGTTTTCAACTATCGTAACAGGAACGCGATATATTTTTGTGATTCAACAAATATCTCAATGATACGGGCAGGCAGATAAACAACAATTTTCTCTGCAATGGAAAACATTGTATATACCTAACCCACCATGCGCCTACCTCCTTTGCAGAGAGGGTTTATAAACGCCGAGTTGATACTCTCCCCTCGTAAGGGTACCTGTCATGTTTCCATAGAGACATAAGGGTGAATATCTGTCTACCTGTCTGTTCACTTGAGAATTTGGAAAAGAAATCAATATATCGCCTTCCGTACGAATATAAGGATCTGAATTATGAAAAGTATACTCTGGTCAGTTCTCTTTGCGGATCTTCTGTTCTTTTCGTCTTGACTGGATGGTTTTCTCCGATTTAGTGGCAAGTATCAGACACTTTGCTTTTCTTATCTGCAACTAAACATCACATATCAAATATAGAAGTCCACCTAAATTAAAACTGATTTCCATGAGAGGGCGGAACATGCATATAGATTCTGAAACCAACCTGAATAATATTTTCAACGTCCGTAAATCGATTGCTGCATATTTGCTTCCTTT